ATTTTTTTTGCAGTTCTCTAAATTTTACTGCTTTGTTCCGAAGTTATTTTACAAAATTAGCTTTTGAATGAAGTTTGGAATATGAAGCAGCCTTTGTCGCAAACACCTATTCTTTTTCTTCCTGTGATTGCTGTTTTTATACCCTAAAAATAATTGTTTTTTTTACTTGCAATGCTTATTTGACTTACCTCTCTTTTTAGAGAAGAAAGTTTTGAGTGAAGAGCTAAAAAAAGCAGTTCCAGAAAAATTAATGACTAATAAGTAAAATTGGTCCTGCCTTTTCGCATAGTATTGCATTTTAAAAGATAACTTGGTTTTAGCAGATATTTTCAGCCTTGCTTCACTCATCTGCGCCCTCTCAGTGCACTAGTTTTTTGTGTTTCTACAGTGGAAAAACGTAGAAAAAACCATTTATTTATAGATACTGTTTTAAACGGAACTAAAAAATGTTACATATTTCAAGCTTCAATTTGCTGCGAGTTCTGGAAACAGTTAATTTCTTTCTTCTTTCTTTTGAAAATCACTTGTACCTAGAATTCAATTAAAAGATGTGTTTTTTACAGCGTCTCACACGTGATAATGGCACAGTCTGAACTTGTGTGTTTTATGTTGACGTTATTCGTCCATCTTTCAAAGTCATCTTTCATCACCCTTCCACTTCCTATTGTTGTATGTTCCTTTTCCAGCCTGTTTCGGCATTTATAGAATCATTCCGGCTCTAAGTCTGAAAGAGAAATAAGTTTTTTATAAATTTTTTATTTTTTTATTTACAAAAAGTCATCTTGAACCTTCGAGTTATTAGTCAGATTACTCTTGTTCTGAATAGGTATTTTGTTGGGGAGCTCTATGCGTTCCTGGACCACCAAAGTCTTTCTGGTTTTTTACAACTTGCTACCTACAGTTCATTATTATGTTTCGGATGGTGTGCCAGAACGCTTTTATCAACGAAATATTGGACAGAAGTAAACTTGACAACGAAAATCCGTTCAGTTTGACTAGGTATTTTGAAGCTACCATTTGGTGTCCTTATCAACGATTGCACACGCGTTTTAACTTATTTTTTTGTGAATTTTTTAATTTTGGTTTTATTAACACTAATCTGTTGTCATTTTGTTCTTTTAGATTATTAGGTGTCCATCCGTCAATAAAGGGGACTTTTTGGGATGTTGCTCTTTTGGCTATGCTTTTTTTACATCGTTATAAGTTGATGAGATTGGGGATGTACGATGACGACTTTAGGAGTCAGCAGGAAGAAATTAATTTAGAGTCTTCTCCACATACTTCTGATACAGATGTTACGGTAAGGGAAAGTTTGTCTATGACCAGAATTTGTTTGTCGCTATAAATTTAAAATGTTTTGCAGGCAAAAGTTCCAGGCACTCATTTTCTTCGTCCTCTTTTGGCAAAAAAAACTCCTTCTTCTATGGATTGGTATCCGTGGATGGTAACTTGCGATGCATTTTGCCTGATTTTAATCTCTATGTTTTATTCTATGATAGGGCAAGGCGGATCTGGAAACGTTTTTACTGATGTTCAGGTGCCAGTGTTGTTTCTCAACATTTTTTGCTTTTGTTCGTTCAGGCTTGACATGTAAATTTCTGAGTGTTCAGGCGTCAAGAGTACCAAGATGGTTCGCTTATACTCTTCCGGCAGTTTTATTTCTCATGATATTTGATAGGTGGCTCTATATGTCAAAACGAACTACAATCCGTCTTTTCTTTTATTTGTCTCTGGTTTTTTTGCTCCACGCCGCAATTTTTTATTTCGTGCCGGCGATTACTGGTAGGAGTAGGGAATTTTGTTCTTTTTTTTTGTT